AAAACGATATAAATACTGTTCAGTTTCTTGCACAGACCGATCGTTTCGTGTCTTTACACATCAGTGTATCGTCACGAGCCACAGGGTTTATTTTGGTTTTGTTTGTGTATGTTTTTTTTGACTCTCAAAGCCGTGATTCCCATTCACCTCCATTAAAGACTGACAGACTGCAACAGTTTGTGTTAAAAATCTTCGTTTGTGTTCTACTGAAGAAACAAAGTCACCTACATCTTGGATGCCCTGGGGGTAAGCAGATAAACATCAAATTTTCATTTTTGGGTGAAGTATCCCATTAAAACCACTCAAAATTAGCAAAACTAAAGGTAGCTAAATCCAGCTAGCTGGTTAGCTAATAGGGATAAATTCACAACTCTGTTTAGATTGTGAGTTTTAACAAACATCTTTGGCTGGTCCGTTTCACTTCAGCTAATTGAAAAAATTAAGTGTCATCTATGTGTTGTTCATAAAGGCTGAATATGAAGAGAACTATTCAACTAGAATTTCTCCTAAACTATATTTCTAAATAATACATATTTTTATTATATATATATTTATAATAAATAAAAATAAGTGAAAATATTATATAATATATATACTTCAAAAAGATATGAGTAATATATATATATAAAATGAAAAAACATTATGTAATATATGTATAATATTTGATTCACTGATATTTTTACATGATCTATTGCCTAGCCTGGTTGCAGTTGACTGCTATGGGAAAGGCATTCTGCGATTTTATGCTGATAGGGATTCTGCTCAGTCCCCTGATGTGAGGAGTTAAATGTTTTGAAGGTCGCAGTTTCTCTCATTGATCTTGCGATGTTTGTTAATTACATTGTCACTGATGTTGTGAGAGATAATTAAGCCACTATGTTTATATGCATAATTATGTGCGCTCCGCATCAGCCTTTGAAAGACAGCAGCACGAGGGAAGAAAAAATATTTTAATTGTGAGCCACTCAGTAACATGGCAGTATAGATGCCCTAGTTACAATCAACAAAGAGATAGAGGAGGGAAAAACAACTCAAGACAAGAGTGGTGACTAATGTCTGCTCACTGCAGTCTTCAAACGCTTTTTCTTCATTTTGAGATGCAGAAGCAGCCAGGGCTCAATGAAAGCAAAGGTGTACAACACAAACACATATTTACAGACAGCTTTCTTTATGACCATGAAATAAACACAAAATGACTGATTAAAACCACAAAGCACTCATGTTTGCCGGAAAATACTTGATTTTCTGAGAAACTCTTGGTCCCACTTCTGTGATAGAGGCCACAAACATATAGGTGCTTCTACCGTAAGAATGAAAAGAGAAAAAAAACAAAGCAGAAGAAAAACTGAAAGAAGAAAGCATTTAACAAAAAAGCACCAGCTTCACCTGATTTCGGTAACTATCTGAGAAAAGAAACGTCTTTTAAACAAAGTGATATCTCTCATCTCCTGTTGTTATCTAGCATAGTTTCTGTCTTGCTGTACCTTTGTTGAGTACTGCAGTCTTCCTGAAATAGTCAGAGGTGAAAGTTCACAGAGGTTTTAAAGTGGAGATTGTGTCAGTTTCTGCAGATTTTGCTTGCTTGTTCTCATTTTGTGAAGGATGGCAATGCGTGCCTCATGTTGTCTAGATGTTTGTATTACAAATACAGAAGTAAATGCAGTCTTTGTTTCTTTCCATGCTGATTTAAGGGCCACTCATAAGGCTTTTGCTTTACACAACTTTTTCTCAATCTCTAGGATTTAAACTCCTGAACTGATAGAGACCTGGATTCTTTGCAGAGCGGGTCTACTATGTAAATGGGTCTGTGGTAGCTACGTTTTGTGAGCTTATAGAAAATCAAAGAGTCAGAGTGTAATCCTGGGTGTAATATGAAGCTTAGCCGGCCTGCCAACACTCTTGGCCCCTCGGCTGCTACACACATACGCTCCAGTCTCTATAAGCCTCTTCTACAATTAATTTCTTCTTTTACTTCCTGTTTTTCCCAATGCAGATTGTTTCTATGTGTTTGCGGATGGCAACAGTTACTCTTTCATGTTATAACTATAGATTTCTCTTACCAAGAACTGCACTTGTGTCGCTGTGACCCTGTCAAAGTGTCACTGTAATTATGCTTGCAAAGCACACAGGTAAAGTAAGACTTGTGAAAACTGAGCTGGCAAGCCTTTGAAGAGAGATTTTATCTTGCTTATGCACACGTTGTTTTGGCTACACAGAGAAAAATACTGAACAATGTGATCTTAATAGTATTCGCAGGCATTTGTACTGCATGTCAAGTGTAGATCTGCATGTTTTTTAGATGCTGAAATGCACAAAATCAACATACTGACAGCATCTAAAATGTAAATGCTTTTTCATATCAACAACTTTGAATGTTTTGAGATTCATAGAATAATAAATTCATGAAATTAAAAGGTTGTTTTATTGTTTATTTGGTTTTATTAAATGTTAATTTTATTAAATCATTAAATTTTTAAAATGTAATATTTTTAATGTCATCACATTTATTTAACAATTTAACATCATTTTATTGTTAATCTATCTATCTATCTATCTATCTATCAATCTATCTATCTATCTGAGATGCTGTCAAAATGCTGATATTGTACACAAACATACATAAATGTCCAAAAATGTGTGTGCAAATGTAACGTACAAATACCTATGAATACTAATGACATCATCCTAAAAGAAAGAGGTGATACCTGTTGAGGTGAAGGGGGCTTGGCGAGGGGGTGTGGCTTCAGTGGTGGGCTGGTAGCTGTCGTCCTTGTGCGGGCTGCCCTCCGAGTCTCTGTCCTCATGATAACTGCCCTCGTGGGAGCTGGGCATGGTCTCGGCTTCTTCTGTGTTGTCTTCGTCATCGCTGCAGCCTTTAGGCTGTACCATGTACACGCCTTCAGGGGGACTATCATCTCCATTGTTGGGTTTGAGTCCCCTGTGCTCGCCCCCACCTAAGGACTGCGGATCATCAGCGTACTCGCCGTTCACCCACTTCTCAATGGCTTCGCGCCGTTTCTGGTCCTCTTCAAGGCTCTGGCCCAGGGTCAGGCCCTCCGGGAAGTCACTTTCAGGTCTGTCGCACTCATCGTATTGCAAGCTGCCCCGCTCGCTGTTGTCCACTAGATCTGAGTCTCCCTCGGCATTCTGGGAACTGCCGTCGTACACCACCTGCTTGCTAAGCTTGGCACAGATCGCATTCAGTTTTAGGCCACCTTTCCTTTTGGCGGCCATTGTGGATTTTCCTGAGGTCTTTTCAGTGCATAAACTCCTCTCAGCTGTTGACCAAAAAAAAAGAAGAAGAAGAAAGAACATTTTAGTGGTTAAAAACAAGATTTATGGAAGATGTTAACAGACTTGATAACGGTTGCACCACCCTTCCAAGCTTCAAGCTAACCACAATACATCTCGCTAAAAACCACAAACCTGTTTAACTAAGTGCATTTTAACTAAGTTTTTGTTTGCTGTTACACACTGGCACTCCTTTTCCACAACAATAGAGAATTATAAAGAAAAAGTCACATGCGTGTCTGTAAATTGCAGGTGCCATTCACACCAACTTTATGAGAGAAGGTGAGATAGGGACCGAGAGAAATATCTCTTCCTACACACCGAGAAGAAAAACTAGATCGCAATCAGACCCCAAACAGTGAGTCAAGCCACCACTACAGTGTGATTTAATTCTGAACATGACAGCAGAATAGAAACAGCCTGACACTTAAGACACTCTTCACCTAAAGAGGCCCAGCGTCCTGCCAATATGAGCCTTAACTCTGACAGCGCAGGGACGAGAGCGCAGAAGACTATAAGAAAGCACAGAAAGTACATCTGGAAGCAGAAAGAAAGAGACAAAAAGCATAAAAGAGACAAACACAGAGAGAAAAAGTAGCTGCCATCCCCTCACCTCACATCACCTCCCTTCGCTCAGCCTGCTTTCGTCTCAACAACTGTCACTCAAATTCGCAGTCAGCCCCCTAAAGCTGCTCATACAGTGCAGAAGACCACCAAACCAACAGTTTTTTTTTACCTCCAAAGGAAGATTGAGGTCACTTGGGCATAACAGTAAAGGTCATTTACTGTTTACCCTGCTCAGTATTTCACTCTTTAACTAGTGATTTCCTTTGCATTGCAATCTCGCTTTTCCTTGTAGGAAATGACCCCTGAGAAGCGATCTCCTTCCATTACCCACAATTTATGTGTGTGTTTTTTTTTTACAATCAAAACACCCATGGTCAACACCCACACTGTCTAAAATTAGCACTCACCAAGTGGCAAATGCAAATAAAAATGTGCTTTCATGAGTAAATGCAACTGCTTGTCAGTGGCTGGTAATTTTATAAGGAATTGTAAATAATGCAAACAATTTAATTCAAAGATATACAAACAGCTATAACATAAATTATATATATATACACACACACATTACTTACTATTGTATTTATTTACTATTTATAAAGTAAAAATAAAAATTATGAAAAGAAAATTTTAACAGGAAAAATTCTAAAAGAAAACGATTATTTATAAACTGAATCATATTCATGTATGTATATTAAGTATGAATATATATATATATATATATATATATATATAT